TTCTTCACTCCTTAAGTTACCTTTTAGTGCTTGACAATGTGTGCTACTTTACTAAAATATACTGTATTTTATAGATCTACATGTGCCGAATGAAAGTAATGGCCCGTGCTTGTCATTTCTATAACAATGTGGAAGGTGAGTTTGGTTGCAAGAATAAAGCTCTGCTTTTTGGAGAAGGAGATCTTTGAGAGACAGGCAGAGAAGATTAAAAGAGCTGGCAGAATCTGCTTCTGTGTGTTTATTTCGTATCTATGTACATGTATGTGTACAATTTTCCTCAAGGTAGATTCCAGTCTTGAACAGTTTGAAGTTAAACATCAAATGGAGAGACGTATTATTTAGGAGAAGGGACACTGTTGACACAAGAACAACTGAAGCTGACTTAGCCCTGAAAAAATTAGGTTCAGTGTGATGAGAAGATTCTGAATTATTAGCGACATGAGGTGTTCTGTGGGTGTGCAGTGTGGCAAGTAGCTTTGCAGGTAGAAGAAATAAAGCCAGTGCACCTAGAAAGGATTCAGTGTCTCTGTATGATACCTTTATTTAAGCATGTGGTTGTAATGTTATATGTGGTTGTAATGTTATATCATTTTTCTTCACAGAGAAGAGTACAGAGAAAGAACTGATTGACTCCATCATGGATATAGAGGACTTGGTTAAAAATGGGAATAAACACAGGTGAATGTTTCTCTCTGACCTTCCTCCTCCTCTTTTGTGAACACTAGAAGTAGTAAAGCAATAATGAGCAATGTGGAGTGGCAAGATAGATTGCACAGAGACAGCTTTCAAAAACTTGTGTGGACTTAGGCTTTAACTTCTGCTACTGTAGTTCTCATAATGTAGTAAGGTGTTTTGGGCCTTACTTATGTAAAGACTGAATTGGATCAGAATGAGGCTCACCTGATTCTTGTGTAGAGGCTGCCAATGTTTGATTTGGCAAATATTGCAGTTGTGTTTCAAATCTGAGAGGATGAGATGGCTGATTTGTTGAGATTTAATAGTCTAGTCCAGCATTTACTTATTGCCTGAAGGGGAGAAGAGAGAATGCAGTAATGAATGTCCCTCTTTCCCCTGTTCATTCTTTGTTTTTGAGCTGAACAGCTTGGCATTTTTGACACTTCTTTTAACTAGTGTTGCTGAACTGGGACCATATGAGTAGTGCTAACCATCTGCCCTGAAATCTAATGTGTCAGTTTCAGCTCATTAAGCAGTTGATTAGAAATCCTTGAGAGTCTGAAATAAAATACACGAATGCGGAGTGTTTCTCAGTATCATTGCAATTATTAATATTACTATTTCTCTTTAACAGAGCTTGTCCTTATTATCTCTCTCGAAGCCTTAAACAGCAAGCAGATATTATTTTTATGCCTTACAACTATTTACTAGACTCAAAGGTAATCTGCATTTTTAAGTGCAATTGTTCCTTTTTTTGGCCTGTAGTGGGTAAAGCTAAAGAAACAATGTATAGGAAACAAATGTATTGTGTAATATACTTCAGAACTAGTAAAAGTTCTCTGTATTTTTCCCTGTTAAGTTCTTCCTCACAGTTAATGATTTTTCTATATTGTTTGTTTCTTTGAAACTGAGCTCTTGCAGTGTTGTAGAATATGGTGTTTGGTTATATTTGACTTTTGAATGTATGTCTTCAGTCATATACTCTACAGTGAAATGTTTTTTGCTTCTGCAGCATTAGAAGTCACCTGGCTTCTAGCATGAGGAAACCTGGTTGGTAGAAATTGAATGTCCCTCATGGGGATAGTTGCTGTCTGTGTGTAAAAGCTGCTGTATAATAAGTTGTCCATATTTCATGGACAGAAGATGAAACTTTTGAAAACTCTGAGGAAACAGATCTACTGACATCTTCATACAAGTCAGCAAAACTAATGAACCTCAGTAGAAGATATTTTACATCCTGTTGTGTTTTGTTGTAGCAAACATTTATTTTGTTTTTATTTATTTATTTATTTTAAATCTGACCAATGTAAGCAAAGAAGCATTTTGAAGTGAAATGATACAGTATGGTCTGGGATGTTGTCAGAACATCCCCTTCTTGCAACGATAATACACTTTATTTATTTATTTATTGAAAAAAGGGGGGCTCCTTCACACATATCCCTCCTGGCAAAATAAAAGATTGAAGTTTAAGTCTGATAAAACTTGTGTGTCTTAATATGGTACACAGGATTTCTTCTTTATTATGATTTCATTTGTAAAGTCTGTAAACTTCTGTGAATGCATTTCATCACTTTGATTTCCAGAGAAAACGATTTCATTATTTACTGTTTTTCCAGGAAAACAGTATCCAAATCACATCAAAATCCAAATCTGTCTTATGAGCTAGTTTCTCAGTAAGTCAAATCACTTCTCTCTGACCTTTGTGCCCATTACACATTTCGTGTCCCTCATTTTCAGAGCCGGAGAGCACATAATTTGGACCTGAAGGGGACTGTAGTGATACTTGACGAAGCTCACAATGTGGTAAGTTGCATGTTCTTGGTCTGTTGCCATTTTTTTCAGATTTCCTCCAAGGAGAAAAACACATCACTGTCCTATTTCAAACAGTGTGTAAAAGCTGTACTTGGCTATTTCAGTTGTTGGTATTAACCATCATCAGTGTTTTGAGTTGCCAGGGCAGTTAGAGCTTTGTGAGTTTGAACACCAGTCTTTTGACTCTACTGTGATTTTCTACAAGGTGGTAGTTTCCTAAAGCGGGTGTCTCCAAATCTGGTTCTGGTTCTCTGTCTTTGGAGTTCTCTTCCGGATATAAGAATGTGACAAGACCCTCATAAGAAGCTCATCCGCATCTGCTGTTCAGGTGTACTAGATGACAAATGTGACTTCTAGTTATATTTCCGAGGTGTTTTTT